ATACTTACATAATCTAAAAACACATTTTCTATAATAACAATAAGATCGTCATTAAAAGTTCTCCCAAGTATGAATGAATAGTACAGAGGAGGTACTTCATAAAAAATTGAATTGACCTTGGTGAACTTGCGATGCTAAGTAAAGTAGTAGAGCAAGTACTTGTGCTTGAACTGTTGTGTCACGCTACAAGTCTCTGCCAAAGCGCTAACACCAATTTCACGGCTTTGCAATCAGATTGTCCCTGTAACCCACACTCGCTTAGTTTTGTGGCCATTACATAACTTAAGGGTAACATAGGGTTTTAATTTTTTTTTTTGCGCGGTTGCTCCTTATAACTTAAGCTATCTGCCAGTGAAAGTCCCGTCAAAATCAGTTCAGCCAGATTAGCTAGAACAAATAAACTGACAGACAAAAATTTTAATTTTTTATTATAAGTACCGTAATTACCATATTAATTATTTATTGAAAAGCTGTTTTGGCATTACAAACAGACACTTCAATTATATTTATTTTTATAGATTATACTACTTAATTACGTAGCATAATATATAAAAATAGTTTGTATGAATCATAGAATAGAAAAGAATAGAATGATTTTTATTCAATATTGATTATTACATAATACTTATTGAAAGTGATTTTTTTATTTACCACTGGTTCGGAAAATACCTCTGTCCTGGGAAGAACCAGCAAGAAACCCAGCGGGACTATTTTTTAACATAATTTCACTTAACAATAATTTTGTTTATACAATTTTAAATAAATTTTCATAGAACCAGCATGGTGGCGATCACCTTATGCATTAACTTCTCCTTGTATACGATACGGCCTGATGCCACTCGGTTAGGGTTGCCAACTTTTGTCTTACCTCGATGTTATTTATGTATATAATATTATTATATATATTAATAGTGAAGTGAAGTGGATTAGTAAGCTGAAGTGGAAATGGGCCGGCCATATAGCTCGAAGAACCGACAACCGATGGGGAAGAAAGCTTCTCGAGTGGCAGCCTCGTACCGGCAGGCAAAGTGTAAGGCGTCCCCCCACTAGACGGAGTGACGACCTGGTAAGACATGCAGGAAGTCGAAGGATGCAGGTGGCTCAGGACCGTGCTTTGTGGCATTGCTTGGGCGAGGCCTATGTTCAGCAGTGGACTTGTGAAGGGCTGTAATGATGATAATGATAGTGAATATTATACATAAATTAAATATTTACAAGTGGTAAAATTAAAAATATTCTACAACCGACTTCAATATAAATAATATGAGAACATCATCAATGTAGTCGAAGTCAATTAAATACGCATTATTAAGGATAACTCAAAAACTACTGGTCAGACCTTGATCAAATTTATATGAGACCGCATGAATTTAAAATTCTGATGTAACACACATTAAAAAATACAGTTGATTTGAAAACCTCCTCCTTTTTTTGAAATCGATTAAAAAGATAAGAACGCGAAGACATAATGCACTCGCTTATATTTTTGACTTGTATGTATAATCTATCTACATATAAATAAAATTGTAGATTCTGTCTGTAATAACGAAATAACTGCCTTATGTTTTTATTGAGCTCAGGGGATTATTTGCATGGTAACAATTAGCATTTTGATTCAAAATAAAGTATAGATATTGTTTTTTTTTATTAGAAGATAGGGCAAAGAAGCATTCGGCTTACCTGGTAAGTGACTACCGCCTCCCATAAACAACTGTGATATAAGTGGAATGACAGGTGCCTTGCCGGCCTTTTAAAAAGGAAACAATCCCTTTCTTACGTTTCACTAATTCGTATTGGTCCAAAAAAAATTATTTGGTTATATGATAATCCACAAAGTAGTCGGACAAGGAAGAAAACTTCCCAAAAATTACACAGTGGTGGATTACCAATTTGGTAATGAACCATGCCATGACATGAATAATCATTTTTATAACCTTTGTCTGTGTGTGTATCTTTCTGTCTGTTTGGACTGATCGCAGAATAATTAAGTCGATTGTAACGAAACTTGTTGAACAGATAAAGAACAATGCTAAGAGTGATCTAGGTTCTAGGCTACACTTTTGCCAAAAAGCTTAGAAAATATATAGATTGTACGTGGTAGAGCCATGCTGTAGCTATATTAGTAGTATAGTTGTAGCACAAATGGGTCGGCTCGACCGGGGAAGGATCACGCTCTCACAGAATACCAGCGTAAAATAGCAGCTTAACACTGCTGTGTTTAATATGGTCAGTGTAGAGAACCGGAGACCCTTTTTACTAGAAAAGAGGCATTCCATCTTAGTCCTCACGACTAATTCATCTGCATTTTGATTCTTTATTGAGGATAGATGTGAATGTCTATGGGTCACGGCAACCACTTACCATCAGGTGGACTGTGTGCTCGTTTGTCACCCTATCGTATAAAAAAAAGAATTGGTAAACGAAATTGTCCTTGATGTTCCTTAAATGAAGACTTTAATGTAGTTTATAGATAAAATGTAATAATGTTTGGAGAAATACGATTCTGCAATATACCTGCTACACAAGTTTGGCACTACTAGTGATTACAAGTTTGAGTAGCCAATCGCGCAAAGTCCCGAGTTTCGTCCATCACGGCAACATAGCTGCACGCTCTGATTCGCCCGCATTTCTATGCGAGGTCGCGCCACACCGGTTCAAGGCGTTTTATTATAATTACTATGATAAACCTGGCATCTATAAAATTAAATTAAGCCTGAATTCTTCGTACTACTTAGAATTTACTAGAATGCACCATGGTGTGGCGGCCTTATATAATCCACTGTCCCACATCATCCCCTTGGTGTCTCAATAGGTAACAGAGGGAAACGTAACAGGAGATGGACGACAGCATCTTCCTGATTACAACTCAATATAAAACATCGGTTGCCAACCCGCCTGACAAGAATAGCAAATATTTGGAAAATCGAAGTGCTTTTTTGATTTTGACGAAAAAATAATTTACCAAAATAAATCGATTACACATAGTATATAATCGATATATATTACAGCATAGCATGCATAGCATAAACACTCACGCTTGTCACCCACAGGAGTAGGCAGAGACTATGGACTTCCATTTGGCACGATCCTGACACACCTCTCTTGACTCCTTTACATCCACATATCTACGTTCTACGCATACACGCTCGTCGGTTAAGGTGTCGGCTAATCTGGCCCATTTTCAATACATAGGCTGCACTAAAAGTATCGGGAATGAAATATTTCCACTGTTCCTGTCATATTAAAAATGTTTTAATTGAAAAGTCCTTGGTTTTAAAAATCGAATACCATTTATTTATATATCGCCAATTTCGTCGATAAATCTTCTAGGGCGTCCCTTCCCGACTCTGCCGTTTACTTCTGCAACATAAATTTGCATTGTCACTCTTTCCTCGTTCATATATTTCATATATCATTTATATATTACATATAGTATATTATCGTATGTTATATCTGTCCTTTGTCTATCAAGGGCTAAATAGTCAAATAGAAATTATTAGGTAGAAGGTACATTTGTAAAAAAATAAAAAATCGTTTTACTAACAAACTACGCGTACTAGGCTATCGTTATGAAATAGGGAACCAGTGAATGTAATACTGAAGCTAATAAAAAAAAACCCGGTCTCGATACGTCAATTTTTTCGGGAGTTATCGTGACCACATACAAAATCAGCGTATAGACATACTGATGTCTATAAAAAAAATATTCAAGCCGTATTTTTTTCAAAGTAGCAATATAAAACGATTTTAAAAAAAAAATAAGATGGATTAATTAGAGTGTTTTCTTGATAGACTACTCATATTATCGTATAATTGCAATATGGTTATGATAGAGGCATTTTAAGATTTTGACGTGTCGGGAGTAAAGCACTACCTCAAACGCTTCGCGTTATGAGGCGTGCAATATGGGGGATACTAAGAGGTTATTTATGGGGAAAACTTATGTTCAGCAGGTCAACTTTTATAGGCTGTAATAGATAATGGAACGGATATGACTATGCCGTAGTGGAAAATCTATACAAATAAATAAAATTGAAGTGTCTGTTTGTAACGTCAAAATTGCAGCTTTTTACTAAATGCATATGAAAGTATAACAAAAATACAAATTTTAAAATTTTTGTTTGTCTGTCTGTCTGTCTGTTTGTTCCGGCTAATCTCCTAAACGGCTGGACCGATTTTGACGGGACTTTCACTGGATGATAGCTGACGTCATAAGGAGTAACTTAAGATACTTTTATTTTAGAAAATGAATTAGGGTTCCGCGCAAAAAAATTAAAACGCCCAAATAAAACGCGGGCGAAGTCGCGGGGAACAGCTAGTTCATTTATAAAACAAAATACTCAAAAGCGCAGCATCGAAGGTGCGAACGTGATACTACGGGCGCTGCTAAGCGTAGCGATTACGATAAATCTTTCTTACATTCAAAGATTCGATTCTTCTTTCTTCCTCGTCAGCACATAGAAGTTCACTGCTGCACTGGTTACTCTCGAGGTGTCGTGACCAAACAGATGTTGTTGTCATTTCTCATATCGCCTCTTACGTCACGTGCGCAACAAAATGGTGTAACAAATTCCCTTGCGCCGCGACGTGGAAAAAACTATGAATGGAGATTTAATTTAGGTCATTCAGCCTGCTATCATCTGTTAATAGTTTTACTCGGCACATACGAAATTAATTATCAAGATGCGCTATCAAACTGCAAACAAATTACACTTGAGTCGAATGATATCATTATTAGCCGACATTACTCATATTCTCGGATGTCGCAATGCACTAACGCCATGTTTCCTTTACAGATCTGTGGAGTGGAGTGAAGCCGTGCGTTGGAATCGTGTTAAACGCCGTTTAAAATTTGCCGCGTTCCAAATTAATCGAATTCGAAGTTTGAAAAAGTGACGCAGTTTTTTTTTTTAATTTGTGCTCGTTCTAGTGCTGTGACAGTGGTTTCAGTGAGCGTGCGTACACACAAAGGCATGATACGTGTATAATGAATTCCGAGAATGGGTGAACCGCAGACCTTACACAAAACCTGCGTGCGGGTTAACTCCGCTGACGACGAGGAGTCCAGGGACGAAGTCGACCATGACCTGCCAAAGAAGAACCCTTTTATACGGGTGAGTAAAGTTCTTTTGACGAAATAAAATTATTTTAACTCGATTTAGTCTGCATTAATTGATGGGACCAATGTATGCGTTTTAAACAAAATCCTACAAAATGTTTGTCTATCAATTTAATAATGCGTGCAATTAATTTAATAATAATGCGTGCAATGCAATTTAAGCGTCAGTAGCCTAATGGCAGGGCGTGGACCGCGAACTCGAAAGGTTGTGGGTTCGAATCCGCCATTCGACTACTGTTGTGAACCACTTCTAACAAAAGCATTTTAGCTTACCAGGAGTGGTTACAGGGAATATTAGTAATATTAATATAGTAGATAGTACTTTATTATATAAAAAAGTGTTTGCTCGCAGGAGCGTCGTATTACAGGTCGTTTCCCTTTAAAATGGTCCAGGAAGGCGATAGTTACCACATGCGTCATGCTTATGAACAGGTGCTACTTGTGGGGACTGTTCTACTAGAGTACGCATTTATTAGCATAATTAATAAATTAGCAAAAGTATTACTAAGCAACGGGACCCTATTACTAAGCCTCCACTGTCCGTCCGTCTGTCCATCAGCGGCCTTTATCTCATGATCCGTAATAGATAGACAATTGAAATTTTCACAAAATGTATATTTCTGTTGCCGCTATAAAAACAAACTAATAAAAATTAAAATAAATTAAAAAATAAAAGTGGCTGCCCTACTTACGTGTATTATGATGGTACGGAACCCTTCATGCGAGAGTCCGACTCGCACTTGGCGGATTTTTTTCTTGTTGTGTAATTTTATTAACGAACATGAAACATCCCTTTTTACCACGTTTTTATTAACTTTCTTTCGTTTATGTCTGTCCGTATCGAATTTAGTTTGATTTTAAATTTAAACCAACTTCCCAATGAACTAGAGACTTGAAATTTCAGAATCATCAGAACCGGATGTAAGACAATGTAAGAGTGTGAAATCTTACGTGGTATATTGTTTTTTTTTATTTATTATATGTGATTAACATTATTGCCTTTACAAAAACCTTTAAAAAAAAAAACAGAAGAAACCTACGGAGTATCTTTCGCCGATTCTTCTCCAGATGGAGTGCCTCATTTTGAAACAGTAGTACCCAAGTAACATGTTGACAATTGACAAATGAAATTTTAATTTTCTGCATCGAAAAATAACGAGTTGTCAATTAATTTCATTCATGTCAACACCATTGCAGCACAAATAATAAAAAAGTATCAAAATCCACTTCAAACCATTATTTAGTAAAACATGGTACAGCGCCTCACCGCTTTTATACGCTAGTATTGTGAATTAATAAGGCGAGGATTTCCGGCGTTAAAAGGTTTTTAGCTTCCCTCCCCGTTTCATTCACTAATTTGTACCAATTTGTTTTTGTTTGAGTGCAAAAAGAATTTTCTATCTATCTATCTATCTATCTATTCGTCCAGCACGAAGTAAGCGTGCGACATTCGGTGAACGAAAACTTAATTTATTTCAAAAGTTTTTGCTTATTGTCAGAAAATGAAGGGTCCAAATGAAAATATGGCTGATTAATAATTTAATTCAATAATATGCCTTTCAAATTATCGAAAAATAATATACATATGTATAAAAATCATTTGTCTAGCGTTTGTCTTGCAAAAACTTGAAAATAGTTCGATCGGTTTTGATGAATTTTTTTTTTGCGTGTTTTGGATATTTGGACATTTGGACCCGTTAAGTGGGGGCACATCGCTAATCGCTTAAAAAAAACGAGAACTCGAATGTCAAATGTTTTTCCCAGTGACTAAATTATAATTTTAACAAAGTTCCTTATCGGACGGTACGGGTTTGGCCGATGGGAGCTAGGCGACAAAAAGTGTAAGAATTTTTCGTCACTACCCCTTGTATCATACATACATACATACATATAATCACGCCTCTTTCCCGTAGGGGTAGACAGAGACCATTTCTTTCCACTTGCTACGATCCTTACATACTTGTTTTGCTTCGTCCACTTTCATTATTCCCTTCATACATGCTCTACGGTTTAGGGTACTCTTGACCTGGCCTTTTTTCAAGACGTCCCTGATTTGGTCTAGAAATGTCCGCCAAGGTCCCTTCCAACACTTTCATTCACACTCGCCTTATACACTTTTTTCGTCAATCGTTCTTCATTCATTCTCTCGACATGGCCAAACCATCTCAGCATACCTTTCTCAATTTTTGTCACTACATCTTCTTTCATAGTGTGCGAAAATTTTTATTTGTATTATTTATTTGTTTGTATTTGTTAATCAATAATACAATACGTTAATCAATAATAATATACTACGAAAGGAACTTCTTTTTATAGGATAAGGGTTACAAACGAGCACACAGTTCACCTGATGGTAAGTGATTGCTGTGACCCATAGACATCTACATCTATCTTCGATTACGAATCATAATGCAGATGCGTTCCCACCCGTAAAGGGCTAAGATGGAATGCCTCGTTTTTTTTTTTAATTTTAAATGACGCTTCATTTTAATAGACGCTAGTAATTCATTTATTTGTATTTATTTTGTTAATCAATAATATTTACGTTTCTCATTAATAATATATTACGAAAGGAACTTCGTTACAACCGAGTGTTCCATGACACTCACTGATGTTTTTATCTATTAAAGTATTTTTAAAATCCTTTCCATTAAGAATTTTGAGTATTTCATGTATGCGCATATTTTTGTCCGAGCATATACAATATCAATAAGTATCAATTAACGAGCGACGCAATCGTATCTAAAATACGATATTTTCGTCCAACCTGGCCTTAAACAAACACTAAGTCGACATTTTCACGTGTCTGCGAATTTCCCAGTACGGCGAGACTATTGTTCCGTGCGCTGGTTCATACCACTGTGTAAACAAAAACACGGTTAAGTGGAGCAATAACCTGGCGCGAACAGATTAATCAACTTTTGCGAGACGCGAAGAACACTGAATATTATGGTGGTATTTCTAATTGGTAACACTTGGTTTACGTGGTAGAGCCATGCTGCAGCTATATTATGGTTGTAACACGAATGGGCTTGACCGGGGTAAGACCACGCTCTCACAGAATACCAGCGTGAAATAGCGGCTCAATGCTGCTGTGTTTCGTATGGTGAGTGTAGTGAACCGAAGACCTCATTTTACTGAGAACGAGGTATTTCCATCTTAGGCCTCAGGATTGCATCCAAAATGCAGATGCGTTGTCACCATAAAAAAGGTGGTCAGTTTTTGTCATCATCATGGTTATTTTCAACCGAAGATAGATGTAGATGTCTATGGATCACAGCAACCATTACCATCAGGTGGACTGTGTGCTCTTTTGTCACCCTTTTCCTATAAAAAAAAAAACATAATTCGATGATCCTCAGAGGTGACAACGCATCTAACCTTTTTAATTTGAAGTTGGTTGCAGATGTCTATGGACTACAGTTGCCACTTACCATAAGATGGACTGTAAGTTTTTTTTTTAATTTTATACACCAAAACGTCGTTTAAAAAAATTTAAGTAATATAATATTACCGTCAATGTTGTTGAGAAATTTAGAACGTCATCAAAAAATGTTTACTTTATCGGGCTTTTAGTTATACACTTTTATGGAATAAGAGTGACGAATGAGTACACAGTAAACCTAATGGTAAGTAGATCCTGTGACTCAAAGATATCTATCCTCGATTAGGAATCAAAATGCAGATGCGTGGTCACCCCTGAAGGCTAAGATGGAATGCCTTGTTTGTAGTAAAAAGGTCTCCGGTTCCCTACACTCACCATACGAAACATGGCAGCGAAGCTGCTATTTTACGTTGATATTCTGTGAGAGCGTGATTCTTCCCCGATCGAGCCCCCACATTCGTACCAACAATAGCTGCAGCATGGCTCTACCACGAAACATTTAAACGCTTAAACTGAAAGAAACGTTTTCTTTCTTTCATAAACCATTATTAAATTGCATACATATAACACATATCGATATATTTATTTCTAAAATAACACGCATCACTAGAACAGATTAAATCTGCGTGCGGTTGGATTTCGAAATAGTTATAAAAGACTAGATACTTGTATGGGAAATTCCTTTGATTCTTGCCGCCACAGCGCCGCAATTAACTCTACCCTTATTAAGTGAACTGGTTAGTTAAGGTTGAAAACTTTAACGTTTAACGGGTAATAATATAGGAAAGGAAATAAAAAAAGGTTTTTTTGGTCACCATTTCTTTTCCAAAAAGGTTCTCCGGTTCTCTACACTCACCATACAAAACGCAGTAGCTTTAAGCTGCTATTTTACGCCGGTATGTTAAGATATTATGATACATTTAGTGCCTTATAGAATTCTTTAGCAGTACAGACACAGTAAATATATAGTTTATACTGTGGTACAGATCCACATTTTGTAGTTAAAATAACGAATAGAACGTATCAATTTCAACTAACATTTGAACCCACGGTTCACACTTATATAAACAACTATAATACTAATCCATACATTATGAATTAACTTAAATTATTTAAGTACTAGCTGTGCCCGCGACTTCGTTCGCATAGAATAATTTTTAGTAATGTATTATTATAGTCCCCTACTAGAATCGAATTTTGTTAACAATTTCATGCTTTTTAAATTTGTTTTTCGCGGAACCGTAATTATTTTTAACCTTAATTATAAAATAAAAGTAGCCTAAGTTACTTCTTATAACATCAGCTATCTGCCAGTGAAAGTCCCGTCAAAATCGATCCAGACGTTTCGGAGATTAGCCGGAACGAACAGACAGATAAACAAAAATTTTAAAAACTCTTTTTTGTAATGAGCTATGAATTTAGTAGGGTGAGTGGGGGGAAGATCGAACGGTTTTTTGATGAGAAGAGCAGTGTTGTATTTGACGTCTTGTAGAACAGTACATATTAACTTAAGCTAAAATTATATCTATAGTGAATAAAGTACAAAGAGCATATTTTTATGTCATATCGATAAATCCCTGTTATATTTATTCGAAAGCAAAAAAAAATTA